GCGAACGTACGAGTCTCGTTCGTCACATCAGTGGATTTTGTACGTTTGCAAGAAAAAGGACTAAACGAAGTGCAAAAACTGTGACGAGTCGATAGAGGAATTTAGATATTTTTTTATAGAAGGCGCTTTAACGAATCGATCGTTGATCGCGTGTCGCGATCGTCGCGAAACTGTATCCCGATCTTGCGGATTGCGTTTAAAGCTTTAGGCGGATCCGAAAGTTTTTTCGCCGATGTATATTCTTCGCGGTAATCGACAGATAGGCAAGTTTATTTGCACTGTTTTAATTTCAAGGGATACATTATGCGTGAAACTACCGTATAACCTCGACAGCGCGCGCGCATTCGTTTCTACTTTGTATTAAAAATGCGGTCGATCTCTCCCGTAATTCTGGTATAGACCGATCATGCTGATCCGGAAGAGTTCGACCGCGTTAATTGTTCCGTCCGTCAACGAAATTTTTATTCTTCCTCTATCCGGTTTTCTTCGAAGCGAATTCGCTCTCTTTTCGAGCTGCGAACAGCTTAATTTCCAAAGAATTCCGTTTGGCTCAGCGAGACGATGCCCGTATTTCCACAAACGGGTGCAACCGTCGTGGTCAGAAAACGCTGCAGGCAACTCGCAAACGTTGTAAACAGTTCGGAGAACGTTGAGACAAAGAGGAACGAGGGAACTATAAAGAAACATGGGAATGTTTCGATTAAAAGGGGGGAGGATGCAAAGAAACGTAGAAAACAATTGGAACGATCGTTCGACTCGAGCAGAGATAATCGAGTTTTACAAGAAAGCGACGCGTCGTTGGAAGAATGGAACCGAAACGAATGCGCGAGATGCAGAGAGGACTACTTCGAAACCAGAAAAAGTGACGACTGGCTTGAATGCGCGAGGTGTGGTCGTTGGTATCGCGAGGGACGCTCCAAATATGAGAATTTTTACGATTTATGTGGCAAGCCGAAGAAAAGATAACGTAAGAATTACTTTCTTGGTATATAATACTTTTTGTAAGCTACAGTCAAGGTTGTCTTTCGAGGTCGCTCTCAGTCGTAGCAAGTGGACGCTCTAACCCGTTGATGCGGATGAGATCGTCCACTTACAGTATTTTTGCTTTTCGCTAGGAAATGGTAGCGTATATTTTAAATTGACGCGAAATATTGTTTATATATATATATATATATTAAATTACTTAGTCATTGCTGTAACTTGGTGAACACAATAAAACTCTGAAAAACCACTCTTTTCAAAAAGTGATCTGACTCTCCCGGATTTTCCCTGCTTCCCCCATTGTCGGTAAATCATACGTTGGACTCTTTCCTTAATAATTTCAGTAGATCGAAAGCAATACATCAACATAATAAAATATTTTTAATCCTCCAATCTCTTCCAATTTGAAAGGCTATTCGACGCTACGTACACTCGACGCAAAGAATATTCGGCCGGCAGGAAAATCGAGCGTAGCCTGCTCGAGGCGAGCCCGGAAAACGATCGCACGCGCGCCGCCCGAAGTGGCAAAAACGGATCCGACAGACGGCACAGCAGATAAGAATCCCGAAAGCAGGGAATGCCGGGCGGCCGCGAATCGAGCGATTTGTCGCCTAATGCATGCCGGGGCATCCGTGATCCCGCATACTCCGCGCACATTCCGTAATGTATTCAGAGAAGCGAGCGGTAGAATCAGCGTGTATCAGGACGATCGCCGGTATTCTGACGTCTCTTTTGAATGTTATTCTTCGGCA